GCATCCAGAGCTTACTGGGAGACAAGTGGGAGACAAGTGGGAGACAAGTGGGAGACAAGTGGGAGACAAGGGTGAAATCATGCGGCCAGGAACACAAGCCCGGAGACAAACTCAAAATCATCCGGCCCGAGCATGCACCCCTTTAAAAGGAGTAAGAACCCCTCACAGGTAAACCTGTTTGGGGAACAAACAATTCGCGCAAAGATGCCAAGTGGATTCCTTCCGGCTGAAGCCCGGGATATTGAAGACAGTAACGCATCATTCTGCTCAGTGAGTGCATGACTGAGCTCTGGCCTCTTCACCTTCGGCCACACTGCAACAACTCCTGCCAATACGTCAGACTCAAAACTGTTGTCATGAACCAGTCAATCCTTTTCTGTGGAAGAAATGTAGTCCTAGAAACTGAAACTATATTGAAAGTGTATGTAGAAACCATTGCAGGAATCTCAGGAGCTCAATTTCCCCCCACCAGAAACTTGTTCTAACTCTTCGACACTGCTTTCCATCAGTTGTCTGACATGTTTGTCTCAATCGGTCCCAACTTGTGAATAGAAGGAGAAAACTGCTTGCGAGCATTCCCTGATCGTTGAAGTTCCAAAGATTTCATTGTGGTTCGTCAGCTGCTTCTTGGATATGTGACAAACTCAATAAACAAAGATTCAGCGGTACATTGATAAGGCATGAGAAGGAAAGAAACAAGACGTAGTGCAAAAAGAACGGAGTTACTGTCCATTTTCTCTGCAAATGTAGCTGTCAGAACCCTTAACATTCGTTCACAGGACTTGTCTGCATCAAACCATTTTCGGATTTTGACTTGAAAAGAGCTTCGATCTAGCAGAATCCAGCATGGCTCACTGGCTGGCCTCCTCCAATGGAATGCCTGACAAGAAGATCCCAGATTTGCTCGGTTAGAGCCACGCAGACTACTCGGATCTTTCAAATCTGGGGACAGCACAGTGGCGGCACATCCTGACAAATGCTTTGCACACATGGACGAACTGCACAATACATCATGTCCAAAGCGAAACAGCCTTCCTGGTTGAGTCCTTGGTGTTTGCCCTGCTTTGACTTGAGAATTGTCCTTCTAGTTCTGAGTTTCAAAATTTGTCTTGTACGTAACGTAACTGATAAACTATGTGTCTAAATAAAGCTTAGCATCCAAGGTTGCAGATTTAAAAATATTGCAATAATAACTTGTAAAAACATTGGAGCCTGTCAGGAAACTGCTACTCAATTTTTTTCTGAAACTCATGTGAAGACTGCTGTCAATCAAGTTGAAACACGCAGCATTTCAACACTTGTTGTCGATCATAAGACTGCTGCCTTCGCTAGACCGGCAATCATGTTTGCATTCCAAATACCTGGCAGGTAAGCAAGTGGGTCCTGGGGTTCTTCTATTTTTGAAGGATCTGAAATTATGCTGCAGGAGTTCAGTTCATCTGTGGCTGTTGAGGTTCCAGGGTGATGGGTCGTCATTCTGCCTGATCCAAGTGGTGTCAGGCTAGGCTCTGATTTTTCGGGTCTCGAACGTTTGACATGGGCTGTATCGAACAAGAAAACCTTGCCAATTGAATCGCATGGCTGTCAATGTGGCAAGCCACACAGTGGTTGCCAAATTGGGGGTCACTCTATATACATAACCAAACAGCACAATTCACGAGTGAAATGTGTACTCCAAGATTACACAGTTCCCTGTAATCCAAATTGAAACATGCAAGCAGGGCGTGGCTAAGCACCCGCGCGCCCAGCTTGAGAAAAGGTCATGACACAGTGAACACGGATGGAAATAAATCACCCAAGAGCAAATCTGAAACAGCACACAATGCACCAACCGAACCACACGAACCAACAACAAATTGAAAAAAAACAACGAGTAACAGAAAACATATGCAAAAATATGTGTCCAATTGACTTCTTGAAGCTATGAAAGAACGATGCCAGGGTACCTGAAAAACAAACGAACCACGCGCCGGCTGTTTTCCAAACACGGCTTGGGCCACTGTAAGCCCGGTTGAACATGTGTTCGTGACATGCGGCATGTACAAGGTGGAAACTGCTAACACTCCACCTAAAAAGTGCAGTGAAGTGAGCTACAATTTTTTTCCCGAATGCGTAGCGAAGGGTTCCCGTTTATAGTTGGGGGTCTGGGGGTTGGAGCTGTGTTTGCGTGGCTTGCGTCGTGTCGTCGTCTGTCGTCGTTCGTCGTCGTTTGTCGTCGTCGTCGCGTCTCAAATTCGAGGCCATTGGGGAAGCTTTTGGAGTAGGTTTCGGATGGAAACGTGACGTGTCAGATTCGTGTGAAATAGCGAGGAATCGTGTGGAAATGTAAGATGCTGAAGTGTGGAGGATGATTTCACTGCGCAGGTGCAACGTTTTGTGAGATCCGCAGTTTGCTGCGCAGTTCCCTTGGGATTAGCGTTTGGAGAGTCGTGTTTTTGGGGTGCCGGATGTGGCCATGCCATTGGGATTTGCGTTTCAGGGTGTCCCAACCTCTCTTTCCGAATCTCTTCCCCTGCAAGCGTGGTCAGCACAAGCGGTAGGGTGGTGGCTCCCTCTTCAGATTCCGCTGGGGTGCTGACTTGGGAGAGACTTTCATTGGCCATGGGCGTCGGAAGGAGGCCGATCGCACGTAGGGCACTCGTTGTTTGAGCCAAGGCACCATGCAGCTGCTTCACGCAGGGAGCTTGAGGGAATGGTCTTCAGCGCCTGCTACACTAAAGTCACTAAAGGGACAGTGACTGAGGTCACCGCCCTGAAGGCACCAGTTCTGTGACCTCGAGCGTTTGGGCACACGGCATCGTTCTCTGGGCAAGACAGCCTGCAAAGGCTTCTGCATGTGTTTCCTGCCGGGTGGTGGGAAGGCAAATGCACTTAAGGCCTTCGCGTCGTTCGAAGGCTGTTTCCTCAGCAAAAGGCCCTCGCCAAGTGGTCTCCTGGCATTTGTTCGAGGTGTCAGCAGTGTGCAATCAAAGAAGGCTTTGCTGGCGAGAGTTTGCACCACCAATGGGATGAAGCGGGCACTGGGCCGAGACGGGTTGGGGTCCGTCAATGGCATGCCCTTAACAGGGGGAGGTGGACCCGAGAGGGTCCGGGGGGACGTTAAACTGCGGGTTTAGCGCAGGGGAGTTGCTGAAGGCCCCCGTCCCCATCGAACCGTGAATTAACATGGTACCTTGGTACCCCCTAGTCGGCGTGAGTTGACATGTTGGGTGGCCCCACATGTCACACCCTCGTTTGTGTTTGCGCACATCCTTGGGTGATCGTGCGGTCTCCGGTTCGCCGCACGCCGATCGGTACTCACATGGTACGGGATCGACGGGCCCCACCTTACCTGGTGTCTAGGTTGGCCACAACCTCTGATGACATCGGGGAACAGGCAAGGTCGGTGAACCTCTGAGGTTCTCGAAGAGGGGTTGACGGGGCAACCCGTCGGCAAACGGTCAATATTCGTCGTGGGTAGCCAAGCTCACGGCGGACAAGACCGTCGGTCCCTCCCTGACAGTGTCAGGGTCCTGTCGCAAGGCAGGTGTGTCCTCTCGGGACACATGGGACCGCTAACGACATGGGACCGCTAACGACTGGGTCACCGACCGGTCCACTCCTCTCTTTGGCGAAGAGTGGGCTCAATGTACAGTCTGGCCACAGTAAGGGTCTTCTGCGGAAGATTCGAGCTGTGCCCTGTAGGGACCAGGGTCAAAGGTGACTAAGACTTACCACTCCTTTTTTGGTTTGTCTTCCCTGTTATTGGTAACAATGACGGCATCCGGGAACTTATGGGGGCATCACGTGTGGGTTGCCTTGGTTGGGTGTGGTGAACATCTTGCGTGAAATGAATGGGTCCGTCCACGTCCACTTGGGTTGTACGGGTTACTCTGTACTTCCTTGGTGGAAATGAATGGGTAAGTTCGGTCCCACGTCACTCGGTGCGTGGATCCACTCCTTCCTTTGCTTCTCTCGGCACGTGGTGTGGAAAGGGGAGCGCCCCTGGCTGCGCCAGGTGTGTCTCTGGCCACTGGTAGAGGTAGAGCCAAGGGCTCCCTCCCAGTGTGCTAACACCTGGAGGCCAAAGCTCCCAAGCGGTTTGTTTGCTTTCATTGTCTTTGGTTTCTGCCTGATGAAAGCCTTTAGTGTCGGTTTAGTATGAGTTTGGATTTCGTCTCAGGCTCATCTGTAGATTGCAAACTCCAAACCACCTGTCGGCGTTAGTCTACTGCAGGGGATAAGACTGCATGTCATGATGTACGAGGTGCAGATGATGTGTGTCACACGTCGTATTTCGGCTCACAGCAACTACCCGAGTGGTACTTGCCTGGGGCGCAGTCAGCCTTAGCTGAGGGGGAGTGCTGTAGCTAGAGATGCTAACGGCTAACCGCTATGCGCCTTTGGTCCCCGATCCAACAAACATGCATGAACACAAGGATGGCAATCCGCTCGACCTTGACGATGGCATGGAGGCACATATGCTTGATCCAGCAGGATACTCGCACGAAACCACATGCTGGGTCGCTGAATCTGATGGAACCCTTTTTGCGCAAGGTAGCCCTGCCACAAACCAATTTGCAAAAGAAGACGCATATTGCGCACTTGCCATGTACGATCGAGTAAGCAGCACTTTCGGCCTGGATGCAAATATGACTGAAGTTGTGTTGGAGGATGTTCGAGCACAAGGACGGAGGATACGCCACCGAAGAAGAGCAAGGGCACCTTCCCGACGTGACAGCTGTGATGCACTTCCTACTTAAGCATCATGATTTCGTCACTAGTAACCAGATGGTGTACCTTATTGTTGACAATCGCAAGCCTGGGTCAGTGCCGCACTGGCCAGCTTTCGCATCCTGGTGGGCCTCCCGCCGAAGGTTGGTAGGTCCACGAAGAAAGAACAGATATCCTGTGGGTTTGTGCAGCTGATGAGACTGGTCTCAAAGACATCCCATACTACTGGGCAGGAGTCTTTGTCCTAGAAGCAGCGCGTTTTCTGTAACAGCACTTTGCGCTTATTGACAACGACTGTGTCCCTGTCACCCTATTTGAGTCAGAAGATCTAGTGGCGCTGGCTGGCCCGGAACCAGGCGGATTTGGTGGCAGGTCCCCCGATCGCCGTCCACAGAGGTAGGTATGATACTGTTTACTGAAGCACACTTAGAATACAATGCTGGCCTTGTCACTTCAATAGGGAGCAGTTCTCGCCGCAGCCCTGTTGGCAGAGGGGCGACAGCTAGCTCGCTTGCGCGAGAGCTGCAGGACTACAGACAAACCCTCCTGTCTACAGTCAGGCCGCCTTGTAACCCTAGTGAATCTGTTATCAGTGGTCCCTTGTTCACCCCGCTGTTAGGAGTACCCATGCATAGTGCCCTCGATCTATGTGTAGCGTGGTCTATCATGGGTCACTATATGTGCAAGACCTTTTGGCCATGTTCCACGCCCAATAACTCATAAGCAATGCAGCCAGCTCGGATTGCCTGGCCGAGGAAAGCACACCCGCAAGCACTTACTGAGGCGGGCCGCTCACGAACTCCATGGCTGACAAGTTGGGCTAGGGCTACCTTCGAGCAAGGAGTCCTTTCGTTGTTGCCCCTACTCGAGGGACCCTGTTGTGCTACTCCTCTTCCAGGAGAACATCTGTTTCAAGCCAGTGCGATGCCTACGAATCGAATGAGGCCGGCCAATTTTCATGCCTTTGGCAAAGCGAAAGCAAGTGCACAGGACGCGCTGCGATGCCTGGAGAAACAGGGCTGGGAAACCCTCCCTATATCGCCCTTATCGGAATGCCGAACCTTCCGCCTGCATGGTCCCATGATGACTGGAAACCCATCGGAGGCTGCAAGTTCACAGGATATAGCTCTGGTTTGGTCGGCAGCAGTGCCCTGCGATTTTGCCTCCTGTTACGAAATCACCCACAGAACTGTTCCTAGGTTTGTGTGACGGCAGCCTTAGCTGCTGTCCTCTGCCAGGAGGTGCAACAGAAACGTATGAGGAGACCGCAGCTAGACAGAGTAGCCCTATAGGTCATGGGTGGTTGCTTACATCCCCTTTCCTGAAACATTTGCCCCCCTTCCATCCCAGGAAGAAACAGGCATGACTGTGGAGGCACGATGGGCGCTCCCGCCGAGCATGAAAGTGCTCGAAGCACGAACCTTTGGGCTACAAATTCTTAGCCTTGCTGAAGTTGGCAACACTGTGTCTGCTGATCACCTGCTGCAAATGGCAACGATGCCATTGGAGCATAAGACCACTGCCCTTGGCATCCCCTACCACCACTCAGTTTCTTAGGCGCAGGATCCATCCGCAAGCATGAGGCCAATACTACTGGTCTACGCTTTGTGCAATGGATACCTATTTGATGG